CACTGGGCACAGAAGCTCTCCGTGGGACATGCTCCCCACCAGCCTGCCCTCACTCACCCGGGCTTCTGGTTGAAACTGCACCTGCACCTCCTGCCTGCAAGGGGAGAGAAACGCCGTGAGTGTGAGCAAAGTGGGAACGGGCCGTGGCCTTTCCCAATAGCCACCCCTGCATAAACAGCCCCCTGGCCCAGCATCCACCCGGCCCCCAACTTACTGAGTATAAGAAGAATGCCCACAGTGAACAGGACCACGGCAAACGCCAGCCCCCCGATCCTCAGGCTCTGGTAATCTGCAGGGTAGACACAGGGGCTTGCTCCTGCTGAGCTCGGGGAGGGGGCAGCCTCTGCTGCTCCCCATCGTGCATGCACACACGTCCCGGCCAGCACACCCATCCTCACACACGGAGATGCTCACCATAGTTAAAGGGGTCCTCCTCCTTCTCTTGGTTGGCCACTGGAAACAAGCAGACAAGGGGGTTGAGGTGAGTGAGCCTCCCAGCTGAGCCCCTGCAGCCCCCCACAACCCCCCTCATGGTGCCAGCACCCTGCTCCCCGCTGCCCCATGCCAGCCCCCTTGGATCAGAGGGGTGCCTCCACCCCAGGGTCCTGCAGACTTTTCCCCTACCCCTGCCACCTGCAGTATGCACAAAGCTCTTGGCACCTACCGTCTGCCAGGGCTGCTGGCACCAGGAGGGAGCACAGGAAGATGAGCACTGCCTCCATGGCTGCTGCAAGAGAGGGCAGAAGTTGGCTTCAGCACCTGGCCAGCTGATGGAGGGCACTACAACAGGGCTGGGGTGCACAGAGGGACTACTGGTGACCCACACCCGCCTGTGTGGGCACAGCCTCTGGAGCCCACGCCACGGGAGGAGCACCAGGCTGGCCTTGGGAACACCCATGAACCTGGCCAGCACAGCTGGTGCCATAGCTGTGCCCAGCACGATGGGGACACGGCGGCTTGCACACGGGAGGAAGGGTGTGAGCAGACTGAGTGACTTTTTGTGGGGTTCTCTAGTCTACTTTCAAGCACCTCTGTGTTGCTGGCTCTGCTCCCGGCGTGGATCTCGGCGCAGTCTCAAAGTTGTGCTGCAGACAATGGGGCCAGCACAAGGGCTGCGATCTCTCTGTCAAGGTCAGTGCTGCGCCCTGCACCCAGAGCACACTTTAATTTGTCCCAATTAGCACAGCAATTACAGCACACTGCTACAATGAGGCCACTGGCCCTGGTGGGACGTGAGCTCACAGCCACGCTTGCCCCCAGGCTCCCCACGCTCACCTTGCAGGAGCGAGGAGACACCATAACTCGTGCCCCTCAGAGCTGAGCTGGCCCTGTCCCTTCACAAGCAGCGACACGCTGCCCTCGTGCACCAGCACCGTGGCCGGGCTGTGATGCTCCCTGCCAGCTCGGGCAGGGGTGCCCATCTCCAAGCCCCAAGCTGCTGCACCCAGTTGGGATGGGCACCCTTGGCACTGCTCTGCCAGCACATGTGGTACCTGAGAACTGGCCCGGAGCATCCTCCTCCTCCTCGGGAGGGGCCACAGCTGCTTCCATCCCGCCAGCTGGCACAGGGCACAGTGTGCCCGGGTGCCCTTTCCTGCTGGCTGCGTGTGGGGGACACCTCTGGCCAGATGTGCCACCAAAGGAGCGAGCTGGGGGCTCCGGGGCGGTGGAGCTGCAGCTCGCCCACGCACAGGGCTCTGGGCTGTGTTTTGCTGCTGCCAGGCAGTCAGCAGCACCCCGGGTGGCCATACATGGTGTGGGAGAGCCAAGAGGGCTCGCTGCTGGCTCAGGAGAGGAAGGGGGGTCACCGGGCGCCCTGAGCAGCACTGATAGCACCGAGTGCTACGGAGCTGCTGCAGCTGCTGCGCTGGATTAGTGCCGATAAGAAAGGGGCCCTTTTTTCCTGCCGAGCAGGAATTCAGCTAGCTGACGGATGCAGATCCCCGGCGTGCTGCTATTCAGCCCCTCCAGAGCCTGACCTGATTCAGATGCAGACTCCAGCCCAACCCAGCCACCAACAATGGAAGGAGGCAGCTCAGCTGCCCTGGGTCAGCTCCCCAGGGTCCCCCAGATCCTGCCATGGCCCCCTGTCCCAGTTAGTGCTATGAAGATGCCTGGGAGTGGTCTCAGCAGCACCCATCGACCTGCCAAGGCTGGCCCCAGCACCATTTCACTCTGCAGCTGGTCTCCAGTGCTAGCTTTGGGAACAAGCACCAGAGGAAGCCACGTCCAGCACCGCGCTTGGCCCCATGAACGTGGGGAGCATGTTCCCAGAGCCTTATCTGTACATCACGACAAGCTGCATCCCCTGATAATTCACACCCTTCCCTCCCCTTCCATGTCTTGTCATTTCAGAGTCGACGTGTTTTATCAGAATGCTGGAGGGTTTAATTTCCCTGCCTGCAGCTGCTGCTGCCATTGTGTGGTGCGGGGCTGCGCTGCCACGCCGTGCTGGAGCTCCTGTGCCCAGACAAGCCCCCTCGTTTGCTGAGCAGTGTAATTCTGGGTAATTACCACGTCTTAGAAACACGCACAAAGAACCCAACAGCTGGCGATACAGTAACTTCTAGCTGCACATTTTCTTACATCTTTTATCTCATGTCCTTTATCTATTTACTGCTGAGGCTGCCAGCACAAAATCAGTATCATTACCCGATACGAGGGTGTTGTGTGTGCACAAGGAGATTCAATACAGCACATGCCATTGCTAGATGAGCGGTACCAATCAGCTCCTAGAGCACATTAATGATACCTTATTTTTTGAACAAATAATTCATCCCATTTTTACAGTTTATTTTGCCATTATCTGACTACTGCAGCAGCAGCAGCTCAGTGACACCCCTTG